TATGTAGCACCTGAGAGGACAGAGTTGCTAACATGGAGTTTTCATCCCCTTCCCTGATCATTGCCTACCACCACTCATCACCTTACTAAGAATGGCCTGCCATCCTCCTAAAGGGCTACCTTATGCTCCAGTGGTCAAAAATCCTATTCTGACTCCAAGTCTCGTACAATGGCCCATGCCCCTAAAAGCTGGCACTGAGAGAGCAGGACTGAGATAGAAACCCCAGAGATTCCCTTAAGATACTCTCATTAACTCACTAACCAGAAACCATTACTCTCTTCTTAAAAGCCCGTTGGAGAAACAACAGAACTAGGCGTGCAGTCCCTGATGCTGACTTTGGTAGATTTGAGACCCAACATGGAGAGGCCAAACACTGATTTAGATTGGCCCTGAGTCTGTAAAAGAAAACCCCCTGCCAATAAAGCCAAACTCCGCTCACTCAGTTTGTACAGATCTAATGCCATTCCCCTTAATCCTGAGAGGCCGCTAGAGACCCAGACTGGTTATATGCTGTGTAGTCTGAGTAAATACCATTTGGAACACAGGTCTGCAGCAGATCCAGAGTAAACAAAACCTGATGCTATATTGGAGATATGAAAAACGTAGAATCCTGGAAACTATAAATGATAACATGGAACAATTATTAAGTAGGTACCATGTCTGAGCACTATTCTAGCCACTGTGAATGCATCACCTCACAGCAGTCTCAGGAGGTAGGTGATAGTATTATCACTATATTTTAGATAAGAAAGCTGAGGCATAGAAATATTAAGTAATTATTCTAAGGTCACAGAATTAGGAAGCGAGAGAGGTGGGTCTCAAATTCTGGTGGTCTGATTCCAAAGCTGGTACTCTTAACCACTATACCACACTGCCTATAGTGATGAAAGAAACTCCTCTTTGTAAGCAGGCTTTATGGGCATGTGGCCAGGACAGTTACACAAAATCCTGAGCTCAGAAGGACCTTGCACTTGGAGTTTAATGTCACTGTCCTGAAGTTTTTAAAAATTTGAATATTTTTTTGCAAATAAAATCTGAAATCTAATAGGACAATTGAATACACACTGGAAACATATAGTCTCTGATAGTACAAAGTCCCACTTTCACCACCTTACCACATCCCTGGGGCAGGTTCATAGCTGTCAACTCCTTTGCCCCTCAGTACCCAGGACCCCATCCAGCCTTCCACATTGTCTCATACTCAGGGAACTCAGCATAGGCACAGGGAGCACTGGTGTCTGACACATATACCCTGAAAAATCTCAAGGTGTATATGGTAAAAGCCATCCTGGGCCCAGGCTAGCAGTGCCACAGTGCAGTTGATAGGTCCTCAGTAAGGACTATTGACTACTCAAGTCTAGGTATCTAGTGCGTCCTATGCAAAAGTTATAAATATTCTTGGTGGTCACCTGTCTACCATGGGTTGGAGCAGCCTGCTCATGGGAGGGGGAGATGCTTGGTTTGACTTCCTCCCTCCTGGCCAGCACACAATGCATCCATCCAGCAGTTGGTGAGAGAAGGAAACCAGTAGCCAATGGGCCACATACATGAGTACCAAATCACAGGGCAGCATCATTGGGCACCTGGGAGGGCCTGCACTTGCCCCACAAATATCCCTGTGCCTGAGTGGGTGTGTCATTAACAAATTTAAAGCACCATGGCAGTCTGAGAAAAAAAAAAGGAAAAAGCATTATATTCAAGTATCTTTAATAGCACCTTTTCCTCCTTTATGAATGAGAAACTTTATGTTTACATCTTGCACTGGACCTATACAAATTATATTTTTAGTTCTGGCTATGAGGACTTTCTACTGCCAAAGCATTTTGGTATCCCCTGAGATCCACCACTTTCTGTATAGAAATGATGAAATGGGACGAGGTTGTAGTCCTAAGAGGGTAGAGGACACTTTTACTTGCCAGAGGGATGGCTGCTAAGTCAGTTTGAAGTTCAATCTGATGAGGCCCATTTCATCTTACCCTCCTAGCTATGTTAAGCATCACACAATGTGAATGGGTGGGTTGAGATTATGAATTGGGAAAACCTGAGTTCCAATTCTGCTTTGGCCACTGGCTGAGTGATCTCCAGAACACTGAGCAAAGAGAAGGTTTGATTAATCTAGTGTTTTCAGACTAGTGTTTTCAGACCATTGAGTTCTAGGAGGATGGCTCAGGGAGGGACAGGTGAGTGCTAGGCTGCAGGGTGCCTTGTATTTTCTTCAGCCAAATCTCTTCCATTTGTATATTTTCTGTAGTTTTGTTCTGCATTGAAAACCACTTACAGAAGTCATTCAAATACTTAAAAAATTAAAATGAATCTGTCTCGATTTTCTCTATGGGCCCTTCCACCTCTGACTTCTAATTCTCAAAGTCTAATCTTGAATGCCACAGAGGAAATGGTTTTTTATTCCAGAAAGAAATATGCCATGTCCTTGGGCCAGTGGCCAGAGAAGTAGAAATCCTGGTAGGATAAGGGATTGACTTTGGTAGTATAGGGCTAAAAGGTAAGGACAATGAAGAAAAAGAGGTCAAGTCACTGTGCAGTGACAGTGTCGATGACATGAACCATCTGCACAACCAGTAGAATCAGTTAGAATTCTGACCCAGGAGGTACAATTTTCTACCTCTCCTCCATTATGCAGCAGGATATAATAATACCTAGTGGAGAAAATGAACTTAGTAAGCAAGAAGGTTAGTTGTGAGTGAATTTTAACTTTGCTATTTTTTTTGAGTCTACCAAACAATTAGACCCTATGTTAGACCTAGGTGGCAGACAAATATTAGCCAAACAGCTCCATCCTACCAGTGTCTCAATATAGGTGGGCAAAACAAATTCAGAAAAATGGAAAGTAGACATGCAAAATGCAATGGGAAAACAGGATAAGAAAACTCCCTTCCCTCTGAAATGTCAGGAAATTTACCTTAAAAAGGAAGATGGGATGTAAATTTGGATTTTGGAATTAATAGAACTTGGACAGACAGGACATAGAGAGGTTTAAATGCCATATTTAGGAGTCTGGAATTAATCTTAAAGGTGAAGACAGACATGGAACATTTTAAGCAGTTTGGCAGGAAGGAGAAGGCTGGTGTGGTCAGATTTACATGTAAACCACTGTGGTTGTGAGAGAGTGGATTTTATAGGATCCAGGGTAGATTTAGGGACAAATCCCTAGTTAGCTAATCCTGGCAAGAAAAGATTGTGCTGATAACAGTGGAGAAGAAACTGATTTAAAAGACATTTGGGTGGGAGAATTGACAGAATTTGTTGATTGAATGCAGGGATTGGAAGGAGAGGGAATGCCAAGGCTTGACTCTCAGGTTTTGGGCTTTAAAAGTGTGTAGTGCCATCCATTAGGTTTGGGGCTTAAAAAACTATATAGTGCCATTCACTTATGTAGAGGACAGAGCTTCGAAGAGGAAGGGCAGGTTTAGAAGCATTCGGTTTCTGAAAGATTAAATGTGGAGTACTTGAGGAACTGCCAAGTTGGGATTCCAACTGGTAGTTAGATACAAAGATCTGGAGATCAAAGGGAATTTGTTTCCACATAGCTCCCAAGTAAACCATATCACTTGTCTCACAACTGGGGCTTAGGAGTTGTTGGAAGATTGCTACATAGTATCTGGGAATAGAGACAGAAAAAAAATTATTTGGGGGGCCCAAATATTGTGCCTGACGGAGATGTAGATAAACACAACTTTTTGTTTTTGCAGCCTGAGCCAATTTGATTATTTTTTTCAAACTAGTTGTTTGATTTTAGTCACATTATCATCTCTAGGCATTAGTTTTCTCATCTATAAAAGCAAGGTATTAATATTTTATATTGTTCAGACATAGGATTGTATGGTTTTAAGACTAGCTTGTTGCTATTTTAGACAAAATAGCAATATCTGTGAATTTTTTGCATTTTTACAAATTCTGAGGACTAGCTATGAACTAATGAATTAATTGGGGTTATACTTAGGCTTGTGTTGAAATACATTTGAGACTAGGAATGTTCTTGGCTCAAATTCATTTGGAATCCACATACAAAAAAAAATCATAGCTGCAACTCAGGACTAGCGTTCACACTAACTGGTGATCCATTATTCTTTACAAAAGGATCTTCCAACTTTAGCTAGTGAAATCAATCTATTATTTCTCTGGATATTTATGATTTACACCTATAAATCACAATAATTGCACATAAGAATTCATGTATATGCTAACAATTTACAGCCTCACAGCATCAGGCTGGTACAGCCTTTGAAAGACACACATTTTGGAGTCCCCTGAATCATGAGCTAGATGGACTAAATTTAATTCAGCCTATGGGGCACCATGTAAATCCTCGATATAAGCACATGCATGATACAGAAAAGTTATTTGCACCCAGTTTGCCATCTATGTTCTCATCTATAATTTATAGTCAAATTATATTGTTTTAGTCTTTTTGTCATCATACAATTATTTTAATTTGTAATTAGTGTAATAGCTTCACCACTCAGATTGACATATTTATAGCCATAGACTTATGTATTTCCCTCTTAAATATTTTTAGCAGGCAATTGTTTCAGAAAATATATATTATTTTGTCTATATAATTTCCCCCTGCTATGTTGTTGCTTATCTAAACAATGACTTCTAAACAATTAGTCAGAGTAATTTAATTGCCTTTAACAAAGCTTCATATTTTTTTTAACTTGCAGATTAATATGAAGGTACATATGATCAGGTTACACTGTCTGCATTTGTAAGGTACAGTCTGAGTTGCAGTTGAGTCGTTTATTCAAGAGATGTGCCAAATACCCATACATTGTACCTGTTAGGTGGGAACTTACCAAAGTCCTTCCCCCTTTCTTGAATTTAATTGTTTTTCTCTTGTGTGGACCTGTAATTATTGATCTACTAGTTTCAACTTCGCATTGGGTACACGGGATGACAAAGCTTCATTTTGCAAAATGCGAATAAAACTGTGAGATGGTCTTCATAGAACATACCACATTCTTGAGACAGGTAATGACAGATTAAGAACTCTTCCTCAATATTTTCTGTAGAGCAATTTTTACCTCCTCGTTTCTCAAACTATAGGTGAGAGGATTTAACATGGGGGTCACCATTGTATAAAATACTGAGACCATCTGATTTCCTGTCTGGGATCCGTGTTGAGGGAGCTGCAAGTATGTGTACATAGTTGTTCCACAGTACCTGGCAACAGCAGTCAAGTGGGATGCAAAAGTGGAGAAGGTTTTCTGTTTTTCAGCAGCTCAGGGGATTCCCAGGATAGTCATGAGGATAGATATGTAGGAAACAAGGATCACCACAGTTGAAGTGACCAAGGGGAATCCCCCACAGCCAACAACCATGACCTGGGTGATCCAGGGATCTGAGCAAGCCAGTGCCAACAGTGGGAGGATGTCACAGAAGAAGTGAGAGCTGACACGTGGTTGACAGAATGTTAGTTGTGTGATAGAAGTTGTCACCATGACCATGTTTACTAACCCACCAAGGTAGCATCGGGCCACCAAGAAGAGACATCGGACTCTTGACATGGTAATGTGGCAGAGCAGTGGGTGATAGATGGCAGTATAGCGATTATAGGCTGTGGAAGCCAAAATATTGGATTCTGCAGAGGCAAAGATTATGAACAGGCCCATTTGAGTCACACATTCACGGAAAGAAATGTCCTGCAGCTTAGATAACAAATTTACTAAAGTTTTTGGAATGGTGATGGAAGAGAAACAGACATCAAGGAAGGACAGATTGGAAAGGAAAAAATACATGGGTGTCTGGAGGCGAGTGCTGACTCTGATCAGGACCACCAGGCCTAGATTCCCCAACACAGTGACAACATAAATAGTGAGAAAGGCTCCAAATAGCAGGACTTCAAGATGAGGGTTATCGTTCATGCCAAGAACGATGAAGTCAGTCACGATAGATGAATTCTCCATTGCACAAGCTGAGAATTATTCTTGACTAGGCAAAAACCCTTTAGACAAGCTTTAAGTGAGGAAATGAGAGAAAACCAGAAGATCTGGATAAAACAGTCCCATGCAAAGCACATCATTCCAGGACACTTTCTAATCCTTCCCCTCATCTATCTTCTCACTTTAAACACTTTTCCTAACAGTATAAATATTTCCCAGGTATGGCATTGCAGACATAAAGGCCAAAGGAAAAGAGGAAAGAAAATGGAGGTAAAGAAAATTCAGAAATTAAAATGAATACAGATAGGGATGAAAGTAAGGTCTAGGTTGTAAAAGGTGCTTGATAATCTTCATTGAAGAATAAATTAAGTGAGGGTGAAATAAAATGATTGCCATAAAGAGATGTTCTTTACTGATTCAGGACAACAAACCTTTAGAAAAATTGGTGCTGTGGAATTATCTGTTAATCTCCCTCCCTTTTCCAAATCATGCCCAAGGAACTATTAGAAATGAGGTAAAAATAGGGTAAATATGTTAAGTGATTTCATCTTCACATGCAGCTCCCTTTTAGTATTTGTGACAGTATTTTTGAAACAGCAGACATCACCAATACTCACTATTCTGCTTGGTCAGTAGAGGGTTATCTGAGACCACCGATCATCTCTTCACTAGTAGATTGTTGCAGAAATCAGAATGCCCCTAAATGATTATAAGAAACTGGGCTCAAGTTTAATGGTATCTTGTAGATTCTGTGAAAGAGAAACCAAAGAACCAAAGAATGATCAAATTCCTCAGTAACCCAGCAGCTTCTGGCTGATAATCCCCTGACAGATTACAGCTGATCATTCCCTGACTGATTCCTTCAGTCATGCTTGGGACAAAGGGAATACAATGCAAAATTATCTATAGCCTGGGTGCATAGGTTCATGCCTGTAATCTCAGTATTTTTGGAGGCCAAGGTGGGAGGATTGAGGCCAAGAGTGCTAGACCAGTCTGGACAACATAGCAAGACCCCTGTACCAGCCTAAAACATGAAAATCAGCCTCTCCTTGAACATTTGCCATGGCCTAAAAATCACCACCTGATTAAAGAACTGAAATCCATGTTTAAATAAAGCTGATTTCTAAATAAATAAATGAATAAACAAAATAAAATAAAACTATGTGTGTCTGTGTAGTCCCAGCTACATGGGAGGCTGAAGTTGGAGGGTCACTTAAGCCCAGGAGTTTGAGGTCACAGTGAACTACAATCACAGCACTTCACTGTAGCCTGGGTGACAGAGAAAAGACCTTGCTCTAAAAACCCAAGTTTGAATTCCATAAGAACTTATTGAGCAGATATATCTGGGCCATGGAGGAACCCAGCTTGCAAAATCATTAGAGTCAAGTGGGATTGAGTCTAAGTACATTCTTTCTCCTATCATCACAGGCAAATGTCAGGGCCTTTCCCTGAGTGAAGCACCAGACAAGAGAAAGAATAATTTAATCTCCATTAATGGAATCTAAACTAACTCAGAGACCATATGGATCATTGGGCGGCCATGAGTAGGTCTTGTCTAGATGGATTTCTGTATTTGGCTAGAGGCTAGACAAGAAACCCCTGAAAGCTCTCAAACACTGATTTAAAAGAAAGTCATGTCTATTTCAATTCACAAGAAAACATGGGTTTTCTGGGGACTAGTTAAAATCTCTGATTCTGGAGTTATGTGGACCCGTTTAATCTCAGCTGAGAAGATGACCAGTTCTGTAACCCAGGACTTAAACTATCTAAGTTTTAGTTTACTATCTGTAAATAAAAGGCACAAGTAGGACCTGAGTCATGTGGCAATTGTCAAGATTAAATGAAAAATTATAAGTAAAGTCTTGGTACATATTAGGTGCTCATTGAAATCTACTTTCTCCATTCCTTTATGACAACTCCCATTTACTCCCCTTTCTCCCTCTTTATTTTTCCATTTACTACCTGTTTTCTTTATTTTACTGAATGGAAGCAGAGGTATTGTTTCTACATTATTATCATGTTAGACTGTCAGAAGTGAACCTTAGAGAGATTAACTGAAGTAGAATCTCCATGCTCTGTTCCTTAACTATTCCTCAGACTCAAAGAGAGAAAGGATTTGGCTAGAGCAGATGAAAGAATGGTCTTTCACTTGTGTAGTGATTCATTCCTTCTTGCTGTACACAAACTGTCAGGGTTAACTCCTTCCGCTCCTCCTATTGCTTAGCACAGCAAACTACCCAGGGGAATATTCAGCAACCTGCACTCCTAAAAGGGAAATTGGAAGAGAAAATTCTGAGTTGAATGAAGTTAATGGAAAGAGACAAAGAAGTGAGTTCTAGTCCTGGCACTCACTTGTCATTTGGCTACAGAAAAATCACTGAACCTCTTTGAGCCCCGTGTTTCTTCATCTCAAAAAATGGGGAAAAAACATCCACTAAGCTTCTCTTTTAGGGTTGGCATGAGGATCAGATAAAATAATGAATGTGAAAGCACTTCGTAAACTCTGAAGGGTGATACGATACACATGGAATGGATCCCTATTATTAATCTATCACGAAAGGTGGGAGAAGGAAGAGGAAGATGGCAATATGATCATTTTCTGTTGCCTGCTTCAGCTCCTGCTTACAGAGCTGCACTCTACGCCCTCCCACACACCCCCTACACACACATCATCTGCTCTGCCTCTCCACCGGGAAACTTTCAACCTGTGAGGGTTGAAATAAACAGCTCGAGGCTGTTCACGTATCTTGAATCATAAGAAAGACAGGTTTTTAAATGTTAGTGTCATGTTCTTGCATCATTTTTAAAATTTCCCATTTTAGGATAACTCTATTCCTTGACGTTTGCATGCATTGTAGATATTCAATAAATGTTATTTGAATGAGTAAGTGACTCTCTATTCGTCCTTAAAACATGGTGACATCTTTTCTATTTTAAATAAGATTGAATTGCTTTTTGTTCTAAAGGAAATAAACATACAAAATTAGAACTTTATGAAGGATATGATTTGCTATTCCCATCCACACACGCTGCTGCATTAACTAGTGTCACGACAGCACCCGGAACAGGTTTATTATTATCTGGGTCGATGTATCTTGGATATTTACTTGTTAGAAATAATCAGGCACTTCTATTTATTGAAGAACTGACCTTTCATATTTTTAAAAAGTGTCTTCATGTGTTTTTAGCTAAAAGCATTTGAATTTAAAGTATTTGTCCTTAAAAAGAATATAGCTACACCCCTTTCCAGTTCTTCAGTTATATAATTTACTGTGAATCTTCCAAAATAGCTTAACATTTAAGATTTAAGTACAGGTTTACTTATTTACCTTTTCAATAAAATGTCTTGTGTGTTTAATAAGTGCCAGGCTTTCAAAAAATCATCTATTCCAACCCACCCACTTCCAGGTGAGGAAGTGAAAGTCCAGAGGGGTCAAGCAATTTGTCTAACAACTCATAGTGAATTAGTGGCAGAGCTATTGTTGGAACCCAGATCTCTCGACCTAATTCAAGTGACCTTTTCATAACACTATCTTGCTTTTCTCTGAACTTGTTTTCTGAAGTTATTCTAGAGGAGACTTTCACCTTTGGTATATTTATTCTTCCAATAGCAGATGAAAGGTCATTCTCTGTCACTATATTTGAGCTATATGATCTTGAGCAAATTGCTTGCTCTGTCTGGGCACTAGTTTCTTCATCAATAAAATGGAGCAGCTAGACTAGATGGTCTCTGAGGCTCTTTCCAGCTCTGAGCTCTAATTTCCCATGGCTCTGTGAGTCATACTGTACACAGATGACTGGTCATTCTCAATATCTGATGAAGAGGAGCTGGGAGAGCAAATTTCTGTGGTCCCATGAGTCTATGCTATACAAACTGCTCTACCTTTCCCTGGCATTTCAGCCCTCACAGTGTCAGAAATATTATATTGCTTTTCAGTCTCAGTGCAAGGCACTGAAGACCACCTAGGCAAGAACATGGGAGGGGAGGGATGTTTTCCAATTTCCTAACTACCTTAAGACAGAAAGAACGAAGTCAAAGATCTGGTCAAAGCATCCAGACACAACCTAACAGTATGATTGGGAACTTTGCCATCAATTTCCTTATCTAAACTGAAGTAATAGTGCCTAACTTAAACAACTGAAGATTTGTTTTGAAGATTAAATAGGAAAACATACATGTGAAGTGCTTAAGAAGTGTTGCTTTTGCGGCTCCTTAAGAGTCCATTTTTGTTGTGTGTTTCTACTTATTCAAAATGTCGATAAATAGGCAAATATACAGAACCACAAGGTAGATTAGTAGTTGCCAGGATATTGGAGAGCATTGCAAGAATGAATGGTATAGAATTTCTTTTCTGGGTGCTGAAAATGTTCTAAATTTTTTTGTGGTAATGGCTTCACAGCTCTGAATATGAACTATTTAATTACACAGTTTAGATGTATGAATTACATGATATCAGAATTATATCTCAATAAAGCTGTTACCAAAAAAGAATCATGATGAATACCAAGGAAAAAAAGGATCATTTTAGATCAGTCATCCTTGGTTACATGTAAATGCTTCTGACCTACAGCAGAGAGTCCTGGTAAACACTGAATGAGATTATCAATGTAAAAGTACTTTGAAAAAATTAACAATAACAAATGGAACATATTAAAAGGAAATGGTAGAATTATAATTGGTGAAATAAAGACATTGAATTAATGGATACACTCTACTCATGATTGGCAAGGCTAAAATATAAGAAAGATGATATTTTTAGTTACTTTATAGATTTCAGGCAATATCAATTAAGAATTCTGTAGAATATTTTATGGATAATGGCAAATGTATAGGGGAATTTCTCTGAAAGAATAAGAAGACAAAAATGTCAAAATATATTGTGTAATGATGATAGATAGCCTCTCAGATTTTAAACTTTATTACTAAGCCATACTTGGCAAAAAGATTGTTTGGCATCAGGTTAAAAACAAAGATTAATCGGTGAAATAGCATGTGTTACAGAAAGGGGACCAAACTCTCATAA